TTATTTCTTTACCATTAGTTAATGTCTACATGTTTCGTTGTCAGGGATTTGATCTTATTTTGTGATTTTTATAACGTGTTTGAGAAATGATAGGATAATCTTTCAACAAAGTGGTGAAATTTAAATACATTCTACAAGAATGCAGCGTATGACGACGACGACGGACATTGTGAAATGGGTGTTGTACAAAAGATTAATTAAATTCGGTTCATTTCATTTTGAGTTTGAGCAAGACAATAAGAAATTGATCCCGAGCCTTATGATCGAATACTTTAACATGTGATAAATGGCATGCCAAAAAGTCGCACCTTCACCACTCAATAAACTTTTCCCTCTCGCTGCTCGTATCAATGCTACTCCTCCCGTGCATAACTTGGGCATTTATACCAGTCAAAGTTCTCTTTCATGTGGATCGTCGCGCGGTCCTGCGAATACACTTTAGTTTTTTTCGGATTTAAGGTAAGTATTTTTTTGCTCTAATATTGAATAAAACGGTTGTTGCATTTGGACATTTCTCTGGCAAATTAGTACCTGGTATTCGAGTTGAATAACTTCGAGTAGGGGGGGGATTTTGAATCATGTATGTTATGATTTACCGTTTTGCAATGTTCAAAATGGCATAAAATGCTACTCCAAAGCTTATTATTCATTAGCTTTATTCCAAAATCTAGTAAAAATAAATCAATGCTGGTGTAACTTTATTTTTTACGTAATTCAATATGACGTATAAACTTTTTCACGGACAGAAGTCATTCAACATGCCCGGCCTATTTGAAAAAATGGATAAGTCAATAAAAAATTATTTATCTAGTGTTTAATCAATGTAACGCTTTATGATTCCGTTGAGATTATGAATAATAAGCGGAAGCATTTGCGGATTGTTGGTAATAACACACAAGAAATTCCAAAGTGTAACTGTGTCATCGAAGAAAACGCTTTCGTGAAAGAAAACATTATGAAAGAAAACGACTGTTTTGGAGGCCAACTTCGACAAAATATTCAAGTATTCGTAGCGAGAATAATTAATCTGTAGTCTCTGGGCTTATTTCAAGCTGCCATTATTTCCAGACGGTGAATGTTTTAAGAGGGAAAATGTTTATTATCATTGAGATAAATCAGGATTTAAAAAACACGATTTTGGTTTTTCGTATCCTTTCTTAAATTTTGTATACTAACGTGTGTCAAAAGATGAGTTGCTTAGACCAAATACAGTCCAAGGTGAATATATAATACGTTTCAGTTCATCGTGTTAGATATCAGATGAATAAAAAATCATTATCACTCTTGAGTTTCACTAAATTAGTTTCACAAAATATATTCATTAACACGATTCCTATTGGCGAAGTATTGACACGATTATTTCTTCATAATCATCTAACATCAGATGACACTTAAAATAACATAAAATAATACAGAACTAACCTTATCCCACATCTATTTCGATCTGAGATATTATTACGTATTTTTCCTTGTACAATTTCTGGGCCTTGACATAATACAAGACGGATTTTAAATCTAGATAAAATTTGTTATGGGTTCTCACCCCTGCTTCTGTGATTTCGAGTTAGTCAAGGAAAAGAGACCCTGAGAATGAATCGGGCTGAGGCCTAAACTTGGCGTGATAATGTCGCAGTTGGGATACTCTATAATCTAGATTATATTTTACCTAAATAGTAATAACACGCTCGATCTATGAAATTACAAAGTATAAAAGTAGCCAATAGTCGTGCGTGCAAGATACTTTTTTTATTGACCTCATGACCTGAAAATATCTTATTAAATGTTTAAATTAAAGAGTTGCTTCTGAAACATCCAAGCAAGTCATCTGGTTCAACTTGGCAGGGCGTGTTTTCAACGCTCAATTCTCTATTGTTTCAGGTGCCCTTAAAATCTCTCCGTCATCATGGAATATATGAAGATGTTGTCCGAGCCAGGCTTCATTTCCCTGCTTCTAGAACTAATTGATGATCCAGAACCAACGATCGTTCAGAGCATAATACGAGCCTTCACCTCAATATACCGACATCTACTTTCTTTCCTGGCATCAGGCCAATTGAAGCCTGAAAAATACGAGGAAAACTATGCTGAGATCTGTGGAGTTTCAAATAAGTTCATGTCCATGCTAAAAACTGTTGACAATCAGGGAATTTCAGTGCAATTAGTCCGATATCTGGAAAGTGCTATAGATACTCATATTAGTTTAGACTTAACTCCATTCCCTGACATCGTAAAAATGACTGCACCAATGCTCAAGAGAATCATCGATGCCCTTATTGAGTTCGTAATGAGCCCATGGATCGGAAGCACTTCTCTTTGTGTTGCTATTTAGTATAGCTAATGAAGCTTATGAGTGATGGTCGCACTTATAATGTCTTTGATCAGACAACACAATGCTAGATGGTCTAACCATATACCTAATAGGCCTAGTGGGATATAATTTATCCCGGCTTTGCATGGGAATTATAATCCTCCGATAACAACAAATTCTGTTCCTGATTTTCAAACAATCTAACTACATAATATAAATAAATGACGACGAATATCCGTTTCGTCCCATAGTTCCATTTAACTGCCATTTGGGAGTTGAAATGAATTTACTCAGTCGTTATTTTATAGAGAAATTCACTAAAACAAGATAGAAATTTCAAACAATTATTCCTGTCGATCTACGTCTCCACTTTCCCGTTATTCAATGCCCGTTAATACATTATTCCTCCACCAAAAATAGAATGTTAGGTCCTGGTACAGTGGTACTAGGCTAATCCTTATATAGGTATAGCTAATAGCCTAATATCATAAATATGCGTTCCCATAGCATAGAATGATAGCACATCACGGCAGTCGGCAGGCTTAAGAAACACAAGAGATTAGATTATATTCTTCTCATAGATTGAATGCTGTTAATAAACTCTCACTGCCAATCATTCCGCCCCGCCGGCATGGTGGAATTCGGAAGTAATGAATAACCAAGTGTGAAGTGTACATAGCCTATATTATATGAATCTAAAATTCTAGTAAAACTCTGATACTAGATCACGCTTTTGATATTTTTAGATAATTACGGAACTGTTCTAGTTTTCAGACTAGATTAATCTTGAATATATGAACCACGGACGCTATGTTACGTATTTAACTCTGCGTAGTGCTTATGAACTTATGATGTTCACAGTTCCTTTATTCCCACACGACAACGTGACACTGAGGCAGGTATTCATCAGTAATTCGCTTCTCTAATCTCTATCAACGAGTAGCGGACATACGTCGACAAAAAATTATCAATAGCACGTGCTTGTGGTCAAATCTATATGTGCGTTTATTGACTTAATATATTATGATATAATTTGTCTTCTTATTAGGCTAACTAAAACTTAAACGTTTGGATAGCTTGTATCATGAGAAGTTAGGTAATCGATTTTGTACTTTGGTTAGATACCTAATTGAAATATTTTCGCTAAAAATTATTTTGCCTGGATGCATAACTCGTAACTGGCTTAGTTCGGAATTCATTTTATGACGTGCTTATTTTAATCTTGCGTGCATGATTACATTCTCTTCCTAATGTTATTATCGCTGAGGTGTCGTGTTCATGCTAAAAAATAAGGTAACGGTTACCAGATCAAAAGAGAACTCCGAAGGATTTTACATATTCTGATTTTGCTTTTCTACTTAAATTTTAATCGTTAACTTAGATATGCTCATTATCATGGCTTACGAGTAGATTGGTGCCTCATGTTGGTTGAACAATTTTTGTGTTCTCCATTAATGAATTGGTGAACGCTTTCCTTAACTCTCACCATACTATTAAATTAGTATGATTTTTATTGGTCTGCGATTTCGTGTCCGATTCTCATCATGAAGTTATCTGTGTATTGATAAATTGTAAAGGTTTTTTAAATAACTCTCTTAGGCAAAAACTTGTTTCTTGTTTCTCTGGCATTCTCTCCGATTTTGGAGCAATACAACGTGAAAATTTTCGTTTCATCTTATTGCGTTTGTTGAGGTCTATACTTCCTTACAAGCATTTTTCATTTTCTCGAAGCTAAATCGTTGCTCGTTTCCGTTTAAATGACTCGTCTATACTTTCATTGAGACAGCATTATCGTTCAAGGAGGCATTGAGGTTCTGAATAATAATGAACGTATCATATTATTTGCTTAACATCGTTTTTGACGTACATTAATCACCTAGAATGTTGCTATTTCTCCAACCTGCGTCAGTTTGTCATAAACTTCAGTTTAATGCGATGAATTAACACATTAGCTTACCAAAAAACTGAAATCTGTTCCCATTAGATGTTCAATAGATTCTTTTATGAAATGTATTACGCATTAGTTTTAATTTTTCCGCGGTATTTTTAGTTTAATAAAATCTATTTGTAATTCCTTCAGTTTATTACCAGTTAATTACTGTAAGCTGTGCTAATATCTTCCACAGCCAGGCTAGAAATTTCGAATCTGAAGTGCCAGGAAAATTTTATATTAACTTCGGATGTAACGTAAATTTAGGATCTGACATGGCTAGAAAATATCATAATGTGAACTGATATTCCCAGGAAAACTCGCGCAATGTGCTCTCGGGTTTTCCGCCTAAGTCAAAAATATTTCTCGTAAAAAATCCAGCTCCGATCGTCTATTCACCGGTGAACATCAGCTGGATCACTCGTGCACACGAGAGACAACTGAGCTTCAATATTTCCGAACTTCCACATTTCATTCCTTTATTGTGAGACTTAATTTTTTTAATTTTAATTATATTGTTCGCGGAGCGGCTAGGTGGAGTGGTTACATTTGGAGAGCCAGTACGTATAAGGAACGGATACACAGCTAATTCTTTCAATGCCGGTTTATAAGATAAAACTACCTAACCGCGCTTGTTCCACCTTATGACTTGTTTCTCCTCATTAAAATGCAGTTCTTTTTTAGACATGAAGCTTCAGCCCGCGGAGAGCTCTTGATCCGAATCCACGGGTTATTAAAGTCTATGGGTATTTAAAGTTGGAAGGTAAATAACAGCTTATGGTTTATTTGTTATTAATGTTTAAAGGTATTCAAAGCAAACCCTGGGTTTCCTCATCAAAGTTCAAAAGTTACTAAAGAAGTTCCCAGCAAATCCGTGCTCATTCACAAAAAAAGGCTGCACAGACAGTTGGGGTTGAAAAGAAACCATAATGACAAACGTATACGAGTCTTGCAGTGAAAAAAAGAATTAATGAGTTTTCCACGTTGTTAGAGGGCAATTCCAATCGTACGCACTATAATATTGCTTAATAATTTTGACAGACATGAAGATTATTATTGAATCACCCGCAGCGATGTCAAGTGAGTAAAACTAAGGACCACATCGAAAAGTTAATTTCTGACAGACGCAATACATCGTAGGTTGATAATGGACAACTGCCATATTCAATGAGGAAAACGAAACTCAAACCGGAAGGCTACCAGCGGAACCCCTTGAATAACAAAGAAAATATGATAGCTGATTGGCAAAGCGGGCGAACCAAGGCCAATGGCAGCATCAGGGTAGTTGGTGGATCAGCTTCATTCGCACAGTAACTTAATATATTCCTATACAATAACATATGAATGTTTAAGAATTGATCACGAACGAAACGTATAAAAAATCGTTGCACGAACAAGGATGCTATAGGCGGTACATTCCCGCTCGCAATCCAGCTTCGATTGTAATAAAAAGTTAACCCTAGTCGCCTTGGATGCGAGCGACACGCAATAACATACGGTGGTTAACATTTTGGCCCGCACACATTATAGGATATTTCAGATTTGTATCGTGTAATGAAATTCCAACTGAGAATAACACGATTTGTTAGCTCAATATTCAGTCAGTGTAGCCTAAAATTCATGAATTATTAAACGATTTTAATTTCCTTTTTAGCTTCTATTACGGCCATATCAAATACGACAATTTCTATAGACGAGTGATTTGTTAATACCCCCTCTGGTGAGGGCAATGTGAGGGGATCAAACTTGAATGACCTTAGCTTGAAAATGTTTAAGCTATAGCGAGATGATCTAATATATCGTAGATATCGACACAGCTAAAATAAAATTTATTGGAGTGGGAACAGATTGGAGTTGAAGGCTACCACAACATAAGTTGGTAGGTTTAGTGGTTGAGTTTTGTATTGGCAATGTGAATTAGAATGGCGAAGTGGGTGAATAACTTGGGCTTGTTGGTGAATATGTAGGTGAAGTGGGTGAATAATTTGGGCTCGCTGGTGAATAGGTAGGTGCAGTGGTTGAGTAATTGTAATCGGGGCTGGAGCTTACAGGTGTATAGTAATTGGGGGAAGTAGTGCTTGTTGGTGCTCGATTAGGTGGGCGAAGTCGACTGAAGACATTTTTTCTGGGACGCTTTATTGCTGGCTTCGGGCTGACTATTTCCCCGTCTTCACAGGTTGGAGAAGTCGGCCGTCGTGCATTTGCGTAGACTGTAAGATGACTATTCTCCCGTTTCCATGACTGTTCACTGGCCCGCCGGCGCTCTGTGGTCGACTGCCTCTCCACCAGCGCCTATGAAAACAAAGCAATTAGAAGTTATAGAAAATACCATGATTAAGGATTTGTATGCCTTTGTCTAGACTGAACTCTCATTAGCGGGCGGGCCTATACGTGTCACTCGTTTTAATCCTGAATGATAAACTGCAACCCTAAGAAACTATTTATTTATAATAGTTTGAACATTTTTCGCGCCCACAAAGAAGAGGAGAGGTCAACCTGCATCATTGCATGTGTGGGTCAACGAAACTCTGAGAATATTTCAGTACGGAAGCGTTTCTATAACAAGGCCCAAACTACACTTTTGATGACTGAGAGCTATTGTCAACGAATTGCTGTCGACGTTATTATAATGTGCTTTTAGTCACTTTATAAAGAGCAGTAACAGAAAGGATAAATTGAGCTTGCCGATTTTTCAAGCTGAAAAAAGTGAAGTTGATATAAACGATGGCAAATTTAACACCACGAAATAAACAAACGATATGTCTAGTCCTGACATTCCACTGAACATTTTCTTTTCGCGTTTAGCTATAAAGCTTTTTTTAACGCCTGCTGAAATCTTTTTTAAAAAACGCCATTGCCTTTGCTGTAAATTGATCATTGCACGCGCAGTCGATTATGCAAGATCTTGATTGTCGTTCCAATTTATACCAGTAATATATTAATACTTATTACACTGCAATGAAATACGTTTATGACTCACATTTATTCATGAATTCTAGAATAAATAACATTAAAAGCGATGATGGAAAAATTTAGAAGTGATAATTTTCTGCAGAGCATTTATTGTATTTTTGGCATGAAGCTCACAAGTCATTTGTCAGTTTTTGATATTTCAGAGTCTCTTAGTGTGACATGATAATCGGTTGAAATGCCCTCCAGCTGGTTTGGTGGTAGCCTCAGACTTCAGTCTGTAATGGGTCTTTCAAATAAACGCGGTGCAAGCACGTATTGGATAATAGATCATTTCCCTATTAACTTTGTTTACAAGTAAATCCCTAATGTTAGCTCCCGTGTAAAATAAAACCCCCAATAAATGTTATTTCACTCACCTTGCATTTCTTGTTAACTGCATCCAAACTCGCGTTGATTTTGAATAGCTTGTTGTTTTTTGCGGGTTCTAATTGCAGTCGACAAATGATTTCCTTGCACTTCCGTCTCCTGTTCTCATCAGTACTTATGATTGCTTCATCCCAAGTTTGGAGGTCTTTCTCTATAGTCACTTTCTGGGTCAGCAGCGACTCTTTCCATTCTTCAAAATCCGTCTTCAGATTCACGATTTCATCAATCCAACTCAACAGGCTGTTAACTTGCTCCTGTTGGTCACGAATCTTGCTTCGTATTTTTACTTTTGTGCCCACCGCTTCACCTCTCAGAAGCAAGTCGTCAATCATCTCAACTTTGTGCGTGGCGTGCGTGCCCCTAGTGCACGTGAAGCACGTTAGTTCCATACAATCCACGCAAAGATAATCAAGCGGCTTCTGGTGCTGAAGGCAGGGCGCCTCGGGCTGGGGTTTCTCCCGTTTAGGTTTGCCTTCACAGGGGATCAATGCATAATTGATTACCATATCATCAATAGGTTGGGTAGTTTTTTTCTTGCATTTAGGGCAGTTTCTGTTCTCTAAACATTGTTGTAAACTTGAAATGCAAGAGAAGCAAAACGTATGGCCGCAAGTTAGGCAGAGCGGCTTGTGGTTGCCGGAGTCGTATTGTTCATAACAAACTTCGCACTCTAGCACGGCCGTAGCCACGTTGTGCTGTTCATATCTGCTCTCGTTATCCATTCAGTCGATCTCAACTCAACGAACACTTCGAACAAAACAATCTAGTTGGAATTAGCACAGAATCTGAGGGGAAAGTTTGAATATAAGGAAAATACACCATGTCAATAACAGAATGTAAAACCTGTTCAGTTTACCTAACTACCAGTCAATTGTGACTAACAACGTTGCAAATTAAAAGACTGCCTTGCATGATTGCAACCAGCTCAATTAGAGTATAGCTAATGAAGCTTATGAGTGATGGTCGCACTTATGATTTCTTTGCTCTGACAACACAATGCTAGATGGGCTAACCATATACCTAAAGCCCGGTCCACACGCTCAGTTTTACACAACGATTTGTCTGCGCAGTTCTAATCCTGTCTCTTATACACATCTAGATGTGTATAAGAGACAGCTTTGATATGCTCNCAAAACTGAGCAAACTACTCAGATAAGTCGGTACCGTGTGGACGCTCTAAAAATTGCAACGATTTCATTCCGACTTAAAACTGCGCAGACAAATCGTTGTGAAAACTGAGCGTGTGGACCGGGCTTAATAGGCCTAGTGGGATATAATTTATCCCGGCTTTGCATGGGAATTATAATCCTCTGATAACAACAAATTCTGTCACTGATTTTCAAACAATCCAACTACATAATAAATGACGACGAATATCCGTTCAGTCCCATAGTTCCATTTAACTGCCGTTTGGGAGTTGAAATGAATTTACTCAGTCGTTATTTTATAGAGAAATTCACCAAAACAAGATAGAAATTTCAAACAATTATTCCAGTCTACGTCTCCATGCACTCTCCCGTTATTCAATGTCCGTTAATCTATTATTCCTCCACGGCTCCACCAAAAATAGAATGTCAGGTCCTGGTACAGTGGTACTAGGCTAATCCTTATATAGGTATAGCTAATAGCCTAATATCATTTAAGCGCCCCATACACTAGTGTATCCGTATCCGACTCGCGAGTCCGGCTAGCTGCTTCCGACTATCGGATCTGATCTGACGGTATTTCTCCATACACCTACGTACTTTGCTCGCGGCGTCCAGTCGTGAAGACGAGTCATCCGAGGCAAGTTGCCGCTGCTGCCATCGTTTTGAGCGAGCTCGGGGGAGTGAAAAGCAACGGAGGAAACGATCTATGTGGTCGAAAGAATGGCTTGTCAATCGACAAAGATTTAGCAAAGATAAATTTGCTAAATTTCATTCGCGACGATAAACTATTTAAGGATGTCTGCAGAAAACTTCAATGTCCTATTGGACAAAGTCAAACTCTTCATAGCAAAACGAGAAACTGTACTTCGGAAAGCTTTAACAGCGGAGGAACGGCTAATTGCTACTCTACGTTTTTTAGCCACCGGACGGTCGTTCGAAGACCTAAAGTTCTCCACCATAATATCACCACAAAGTTGGGGTGTACGTGTCATCTGATGACGCACCACTTCGCGTGCTCTCGCGAATCTTTCTCAATTCTTTCCTGAATAATGCTTGAATATTATTCACTTTTTTCTTAACAAAGTTAAGGTCTGCATTTACTACTTTTTCGGCGTAATTCCAACGAGATGTTCCCATGCCATATCTCTTTTTGATTTGTTGGAATATTCCGAGCAACGAACCTTCCAAAGGTACGGCAAATTGCGGTACTCTTCTATGAACTTTGTTAAAAAGTCGGGGCTCATGAATAGCCTGGAGTCCGCCATCGCTGCATATGTCCTCTCAGATTGACGTCTGCATAGTAACTGAACTCGAGCCGAGCAGTGTTGCCAGGTTTTTTCTTGGCGAGAATACCAGATTGCCTAGCTCAAAATACCAGAAATATACCAGAAATTCTATCGTTCAAAAACAGACTAATACCTCCAAATTTAATAAAACTATTCGTCAGAAACGTTGGTTAGAAAAAATTATCTTATGTACTGTGCAGTTATCTGGCTTGTTCAGTTCATCACTGATCAGTAATCAATCGAGGATCATCACTCTCATGCTCATATTGCACTAAGCACTTTTGTTAAATGTTAACAATTAAATTGGGGTTATTTTATCAAGCGGTAAACTTGCGGTTCCAAAAATGGCGGCAAACCTCTAGTCGCGCCTAGCTATATTCTTCTCATAGATTGAATGCTGTTAATAAACTCTCACTGCCAATCATTCCGCCCCGCCGGCATGGTGGAATTCGGAAGTAATAAATTACCAAGTGTGAAGTGTACATAGCCTATATTATATGAATCTAAAATTCTAGTAAAACTCTGATACTAGATCACGCTTTTAATATTTTCAGATATTTACGGAACTGTTCAAGTTTTCAGACTGGATCAATCTTGAATATATGAACCACGGACGCTATGTTACGTATTTAACTCTGCGTAGTGCTTAATGCTTATGAACTTATGATGTTCACAGTTCTTTATTCCCACACGACCACGTGACACTGAGGCAGGTATTCATCAGTAATTCGTTTCTCTATCAACGAGTAGCGGACATAAGTCGACAAAAAAAATTATCAATAGCACGTGCTTGTAGTCAAATCTATATGTATGACACGAGAGACACGCGTTTACTGTGAAAGATACGTGTTTATTGTGAAAGACTCGCGCATGCTTTCATCATCATGTACGATTAAACATGTGTGTTGTTGAGCACCGGTTATCGCGCAAGCAGCTGTTAATCACTTGCCATTCAGAAAAATCTTTGACGTTGCAATCATATCACATACAAAATATGCTCCACTGTGGGGCGATGAAGTTAAATACCTACACCTTATTTCATAAACACAATTGGAAGTGCAAGTTGCTCTTTGTTCGCGCACAACATGAGACCCGATTACACGCAACGCACGCGCTCCACTGGCCTCAGCCTTGGCGCCCGGTGACTCAGTCTGTCGTTGGCTGATTGGCTCGTTGCTACTACAAACACAAACCTCGTTTCTTCCTCGTTCGAACGAATATAGAACCTATGTTAGAATCGGCAGGATAAATAACGAGAAAACATTCAATCATAAAGCTAAAAATTGTTAAATTATTACAGTATATCAAAATTTTCATACCAAAACGCTGAAATTCTCTCTAAACGAAAATTTAGTGTAACTGCCTAGCTCATAACACGTCTCGGACAAATTAACGGCCGGACTTGCGGCCGGTCTCGATGCCGGACTCGCGGTCGACGTCCAAATTCAGTGAGCAAGGAATATCTCCCTAAGTAATGAACGTAGCTCGATGAAACTTGGTACACGTAATCAGTAGGACCTAACGGTGATGTTTAGCTCGTGAAAATTTTTTAAATTTCACCATTCGTGGATTATACGACGATACGTGCCGAAATTCGCAGTGAGCAAGACATTTCTTTTAAACTACTGTACAGATTTGAACGAAACTTTGAAGATACAAACCTAACCTCCCAACGATGATTTTGAGCTCGTGACAATTTTTTAGATTTGGCCTTCGGTTGCTATTTTTTTCATTTTTATCGCATTAGTGATTTAAACAGCAGTACGTGTTTAAATTCACAGCGAGCAAAAAAATTCTCCTAAAATGCTTAACAGATTCGAAGGAAACGTCGTATGTGAAAACCTAACCTCCCAACGGTGATGTTTAGCTTGTGACAATTTTTTCGATTTTGCCTTCGTTTGCGAGTTATACGGCATTACGTATACGGCTCTTGGCCAATGCAAGTTTAAAAATGGGCCTGAGAAATTCCGGTCGTTTCTCCGTATATAGGTGGAACTTGCGAACTCGTGGGAAAAAAACTCGCAAGCGAAGGGAAAATTAAAAAAAAAACTCTCACGAGCTAAACATCACCGTTGGATAGTTTGGAATATATATTCAAAATTTCGCTCAAATCTGTTCAGTACTTTGGATGAAATGTCATGCTCACTGCAAATTTCGGCACGGATCGTCATATAACTCACGAATGAAGGCAAAATTCAAAAAATTTTCACGAGCTAAACATCCCCATTAGGTCCTCATGAATACGTGTTCCAAGTTTCATTGAGCTACGTTCATTACTTTGGGAGATATTCCTTGCTCAGGGAGCTCATTTTCCAGGCAGCGAGTTTTTCAACCGAAAACGAATTAATGTAAAAATCTGAATAATTCCTACCGCAACGTATTACTAATAACTACTTATATTCCAAAGTTCAAACATATCCGTTCAGTATTTAAGGACTTATGAGTGATTAGGTTGCAATGAAAATGTCTTTATACGTTTAATTGAAAATGAATTTATGTAAAAATCTGTAATAATTCCTACCGCAGCGTATTGATAATAAATACTTATATTTCAAAATTAAAGCAAATCCGTTCTGTATTGAAGGACTTATGAGTGATTAGGTTGAGCATGTAGTTAGGTTTTGCGTTTGAGACCGTAGGCGGGTCCGGAGAGAAGTGTCGATTCGGTTGAAAATTGGGCAAAATTCTGGACTCAAGTGCACTAGCAAAGCCCAATGTGCATCATTGTTGTATTAAAACTTTTTCGTATGCGTATGGACATGCAGAGCTTTGAAATTGTTGGGAGATATATAACGTAACATTCAAACTTTTATCATTGCGCTAAAAATAAAACAAAGTTATGAACCGAGTATTGTACGAAGCTTATATGTTACATCTAGTTTATTAACTCGATCAACACACCTTCTCTACTGTCTACTGACTTTATTGCGCTTTGTGCCTTTTTAATGTCTTCAATCAGCCCACATCAAACTGATTTCACTAGCAGTGTATATTTTTAGGCAGTTGGAAAAAACATTCATGACATTAATCGCTTATCTCAACTGCAGATTATTTTATGTTCATTCTTGTCAAAATGATGACTAATTTAGCAATTATAGACAAGTCATACCAGACATAAAACAAATAATTCACAGGCTGTGGATCTGTTTATTAACTTCATCTGGACGGCGTGAATTTCCCATTTGCGCCTAATATAAAACGATATCGAGGTATTCACTTAGTTTTGAAATCACTCAAATAGTGGAATTTTTATTATTGTTTAAGTAATGTACGCTTTATTGAACGGTGAGATATTAGTCGAGGCAACGTTTCTCTCTTTTTCAGTTTTTGCTTTGTAAGCTGCAAATGCCAAACTCTTGTTGTTGAGGAGTGAGGACAGGTAG